TAGTTGTGTCCTCTCTCTCTCTCTCTCTCTCTCTCTCTCTCTCTGTTTCTCTCTCTCGGTCTCCCCTCCTCCCTGCCATTCTCTCTAAAAATCAATGGGGAAAAAATACCCTCGGGTGAGGATTAACATCAACAACAAAGAATAAGCCAAGGCGATGAGATGGTCCCACATGTTGCACAGACTCCAAGTCCCACAGTGAGGAAACTCAGATGTCATGGTCACTGGGATGAGGCCCGTCTCTCCCTCTCTGCGGTCTGTTCAGTACCTCAGCTCTCCAGCTGAGAGAGCCCTCCAGCAGAAGCCTAGTTTGGAGTCATATCTGGCGTTCTGCTAAAACGTGAAGGGGTGATGCATATATTCATTTAATGAATATATTAAAAATTCACTGCCCCCGTGGAGCTGACATTCTGCTGGGGAAATAGACGTGATAAAGGTGGAGTCTATAAAGCCAGCCGGCTCCCTAGATGTAAGAGAAGATGAGCAAGTATTTACTGAGCACCTACTACATGTGAGGCACTGGGGATGTAGCATTGCATGAGACAGAACCAGTCCTCACCTTTTCTGTGCGTTCAGGCTGGTAGAAAACCAGATACTTTATGAATTGTTACACATCCAGTCACTTAACTGCAATGGCCTATGAGGGGAGGACGGGCTGGACGCTGACGCAGGCGGAAGGGACAGCGCATGCAATAGCTCTGAGGTAGGACCATGACAAGTAGGAGGACCATAGCAAGACACAGGAAAGAAGGCCTTTGTCTGAAGCAAGGGAGAGAGAGACAGGTAAGGCAGGCAAGGCTTCCATCTGGGCAGGCATCCACAACCATGTTGGGGAACTGGGGCTTTATTTTAAGATCAAGGAAGATGAAAAGATCACTAGAATTCTGAGAAGCTGTGCAAGCCTGGGCAGCTAGTAGCAGTAGCATTAACAGAATCTCATGAGACGTCTCAAAGGAGAGCTGAGTTCCGTGGGAAGAGTGGAGAGTTGGGTTATAAACATACTGAGTGTGTGAGGGAGGGGAGATGTGGGACATTCTCCGGGAGACACCCAGCGGCGCGTGTTCTGAGCTCGGGAAAAAGGCAGAGCCACAGGTGTTAATTAGAGAATCGGCTACCGCTGTCCTTTGAATGAGCCCATAAAGGTGGCAGCACAGCTCAGTGGAAGGAGCATGGACGAGGGAGTCAGACAGAACTGAGCTTGGGTTTGAATGCATCGGCTTTGCTGGCTGTGTGACCTTGGGCGAGTGATTTGATTTCTGTGAAACTCAGTGTCCTCGTCTGTAAAATGGGCACGATGCTCGTTCTGCCTTGCAGGGTGGATCCTTGTTCCAGTTTAGATGAAAAGAGATACGTAAAATGATGAACACTGGTGTGTCCATGGTACATTGCTCAGCACATGTTAAATACGACTATTCCTACGATTACTGTTATTGCTACAAAGTCAGAAGGTACTCACCATTCAGTAACCATGGATGGGGCTTTGCCGTGTGTCAGACACAGGTCTAGGTCTGGACATATAGCAACAGACAGGCAAGATCCCTGCTCTCTAGCCCTTGTTTTCTGGTGCAGAGTCAGAGACCAGACCAATGAGCGACCAGAAGAGTGACTGGTAAGTATTTGCTAGGAATTAGAGTAGGGTCATGTGGGAGAGGAGGACTGGGGTCACTCTCAGTCCACTAGTCAGGGGAGGGCTCCCCAGGGGGACAGTGTTTGAGCTGAAATTTGAAGAAGAGAAGGTAGTCTGGCAGGAGAGAAGAACCTTCCAGCAAGGAGAGCAACAACTTCAGAGACCCTGAGTGAGCACACAGATGCTGGTCTAGAACTAGGAAGCTCATGACATGCTGGCTGAGCTTATGGGCTCTGAACCCCAGCTCTGGCAGCTGTTAATGGTGCGACTTAGCCTGGATGTCCTTCAGCTTCCACATCTGTAACGCGTAGATCATAATAGCACCTACCTCATAAGGCCGGTGGGAGAATTAAGTGAGGTACACGAAAAGTGCTTAGAATAGTGCACAAAGCAAGATCTTGGTTTTTCGCCTGCTGGTGGTGTTCAGTGGTTGAGCATTTACCTATGAACCGGGAGGTCACGGTTTGATGCCCGGTCAAGGTACATGACTGGGTTGAGGGCTTGATCCCCGTGGGGGCCGTGCAGGAGGCAACCAATCAATGATTCTCTCACCATTGATGTTTCTGTCCCTCTCCCTTCCTCTCTGAAATCAATTAAAATGTATTTTAAAAAGAACTTGGTTTTTCAAAAATGAGGGGATTATTATACCTTAAGTCTAGTGGAGAAAAGAGAGGGGGTGGTAGGATAGGCGATGGGGCCAGTGAACAAAGCAAGGGCTGGATTATAGAGGCCACAGTCAGTGTCTGGGTTTTATTCAAAGGACAGTGGGAAGCCCTTGAACGATTTTAAGCTGTGAGTGACATGATCTGACTGGAAATTTTAAAAGATCATTCTGGCTGCTGTATGTAAAGTGGATCACAGGGATTTTTTTCTTCTAAAGGTCATGTGTTGTCAGAATAAGCAGACGCTCTTATTTGGGGCAGAGTGAGCATCCTTCCCTTTGACTTGCTCCCAGAAGCATAGCACTCTGACACTGACCCACAAATATGGCCTGAGCCCTTGTGCTTGGTCAGGAACTATAGTGGGCACCGGGGATGCAGAGACAAAGAAAATACAGTCCCGTGGGTCGTGCCTGGCTTCATTCCTGGCACACAGGAGGGGCTCCTTACATGACAGCTGCTACTCGTCGTTTCTGTTGTATTTCTCACTCCTGCCCTCAGGAGCACATGGCAATGGGTGATCGGGGGCCAGAGATAATCAGCTAGTACAACGTGGCGAACAGTCATAGGGTTGGAAGGTGAGGGCCTGATGGCTGATATTATTCAGGATTAACTCCCAGGAAAGAATGTGACAGAAGTTACTTAGATGGAAATGAAGGGATATCCTGAGAGAACTGGCCCTTAAAGTAGAAGGAGGTTGGGAAGAAAGGCCCCAAGACGAAGGATGTAGGACTTAGGAGAAAAGAAGAGAAAGACAAGGAGGGGGCTCAGCATAGGCAAGGTTGTAGAGACGTTGGCCATCAGTGATTGAGGCTGAGGCCTGGGTAACCCTGATAGTATTAATTCTCTGGAGGTGGAATAAGGTAAGCATTTAGCAATAAATAGTAAATAATCAAGAAAACTTCAAAACCTTTGGCCTAGCAATTTCACTTGGAAATTATTAAAGACATATGCAAAAATGTGCCTACAGCAGAATACTTTGTAACAATTTAAAAAGTCACCAAATAAACAGAAGCCATCAAAGAATGCTTATTGGCATAAAGAAATGTTTGAGAAATAGTAAATGAGAAAGGAAGGTTACAAAACTGTATCATAGCATATTCCTTTAAAAAATAAATTCAGATGTACACAACTTAGTTATGTACCAAGCAGGAACACATATATTTGTACACCAAGAACATGAACAAGAATGTTCATAGAAACATGTTTAATAGTCCAAAATAGGAAACAACTTCCCTGGCCAGGTAGCTCAGTTGGTTAGGGCATTGTCCCAATAAGCCAAGATGTGGGTTCGATCCCCAGTCAGGGTTCTGAGAAGAATCAACCAATGAACGCATAAAAAAGTAGAACAACAAATCACTTTTTCTCTTTCTCTCCCTTATTCTCTCTCAAAATCAAAAAATAACAAAACAGCCCTAACCGGTTTGGCTCAGTGGATAGAGCGTCAGCCTGTGGACCCAAGGGTCCCAGGTTCGATTCCGGTCAAGGGCATGTACCTTGGTTGCGGGCACATCCCCGGTAGGGAGTGTGCAGGAGGCAGCTGATTGATGTTTCTCTCTCATCGATGTTTCTAACTCTCTATCCCTCTCCCTTCCTCTCTGTAAAAAATCAATAAAATATAGTTTTAAAAAAATAACAAAATAGTAAACAACCCAAATAAGTGATGGTATATTCATACAACGGCATATTCTATAGCAATGAGATGAATAAACTACAACTACAGTCAACAATGTCAATGACTCATTAGCATAATGTTCAAAACACAAAAGGTCATGACCCCATATATATGACATTCAGCAGGCAAAGTTGTGCTCTTAGAAGTCAATAGCGGTCACTTTTTTATTTTTAGGCATGTTTTCTTAATTGTGGGAAAATACACATAACATACAATTTACCATTTTAACCATTTTAAAGTGTACAATTCAGTGGCATTCGTTACAGTCACAATGTGGTGTAACCATGTCCTCTGTCAGTTCCAGAACTTTAACAGTACCCACTGAGCAGTCACTCTCCATTCCTCCCTGCCCCCATGATGTTACTCTTGAAGAGGAGAGAATAATTACGGGGGTGTGGGGGAATGACATAATGAGGGACTTCTGGATATCAATTGTGTTCTAGTTTTTAAAAGTCTGGGTTGGGATTATATGGCTGTGTTCGTGTGAAAATTTACCTAGCTGTACATTGATAATTTATATACCTTTTGGATGTATGTCATATCTAAGTATACATAAATGTGCAGATCAGTTGGTTTATAATACCTTTTAAAGAAAATGTTCCTTACCATCAGAGGCAAAGGGAGTGTCAGACCAAACGTCGCCTGGTTCCTGGTTTGCCTCGGGGCTGATACTTCTATATCTGCCCATCACCCTGCATGGTTTCGGACCTGCCCCCTCTCTCTGGCTGCCTTTCTTCCTGGTGGGGATGGAAGGAGGGGCGGGGGGAGAATGAGGGAGAGAGAATGTTCCAGTTCTCCTTGGCCACTGGGTGGTTGTGCTGAGAGGACTCACTCCCTGCCAGGCTGGAATTAATCTTCATGTAAAAGCTGGGGAATGTGAAACAATAAGGTCACGGCCAAGGTGAGCAGACTGCCAGGACTGGCCCCAAAGGGGCTTCAGGTAGCAACCAAGGGCTTCAACAAAGCAAATGTGCCTCTAGTCTGTCAAACCAGAGACAAGCAAGCACTCCAGAAAGAGATGTTCTTTTTTAAAATAGGTTTTTATTTCGGAGAGAGGAAGGGAGAGGGAGATAGAAACATTAATGATGAGAGAGAATCATTGATCAGCTGCCTCCTGAACTCTCCCTACTGGGGATTGAACCCACACCCCGGGCATGTGCCCTGATTGGGAATCAAACTGTGTCCTCTTGATTCATGGGTCGATGCTCAACCACTGAGCCACACCAGCTGGGCCAGAAAGAGATTTTCATAAAGGAAGCCCTCTTCAATCACCCACACCCACCAAGAGAGGAAAGTACTAAGTTCTATCTACATGCAAGCTCCCCGTCCCTCTCTTTCAGGAATGCAAAATTAAGCCACCCTGGTCTTACTGGCTTTCTCATCTTTCAAATCTCAGTTTTTATCTTCATCCCCTCTAGGCACTCAGACATTACTAACCTCCCCCTCCTCTGTGCTTCCATAGCACCTTGTTACTGAGCAGCCACCATCTTGTGTCATAAGTCTTTGTCACCAAACTGTGGCAACAAAGCTGGGAGTAGGTCTTTTTGATCACTGCATCTCAACACCTGTGCAGTAGATACCGAACAAACATGGGTCTGATTGTTAAAGGCGGGCCTTCTTCCTGCCTTTCCCCTTTCCCCACGTGATGTGACGGCATACATTCCTTTCCTTCTCTGTAGGCTTTTGTCCTTCAATCCTTTCCTTGGTTCCAAGATTTTCTAAATTCTTCAGATGGTATTACATGTTCGTGCCTGCACTTGCCTTGGAGCCTGTGGTGCAGGGTTATGGTTCACTTCCATGGGCAGTACGGAGCCTGCAGGCATCCCACTTCTCTCCAGCCCTTCTTTTTCGGGTACTTGTCCTGCTCTTCCTTCACAATTCCAGGACCTGAGCTTTTATTTACTCATTTTTCCGGTTTCCAAAGGCTTAATTAGTAAATATGCGTTAGAAAAGAAGGATAGAACCTATTGCTCCCACGTCAGTGGACTGAAGAGCCAAGGGGAATGGTGCTTTGTCCACCTCTTATTCACAGAGCCAGCCAAACGCACAGACGTATAGTTACCAATTCTTTAAACCACAGGCTGATTTCTCTCTCGGCACTTTTTACTGAATCACTGCAGTGAATGATGTTCCTGCCAACTTGAAGGCAAAAGTCTCCGTGAATGGTGCCTGGCTTAGAATCTGCTGGATTGGTCTCCCCAAGCATCACTCTCCCTGTCTTCACCACATTCAGCTCCTCCCAGACCACGGTCACCACAGGCCTTGAGCTCGTGTACGTCACCAGCCCAGGGTAGAACGGGTGGTCTTTCAGGTCAAAGCGGTGCTGTTTCAGGAGTTCCTCAGAGGCCCGGTGGACATCCATGGTGACGAGGCGGAACCCCTTCTTCTCGCACTTGATGCTGCTGCCCATCAGGCCGCACCACACGCCGTCAGGCTTGATGGCGAGGAAGTTGAGCTCCATGCTGGCCGTGTTCCGAGAAGCGGGCTGGCCTGGCAGCTGCGCTGCTCTGCGCAGCCAGAGCCCAGGAACTGAGCCTTTGGAGGGGAATGTTCCTCTCCACAGTGAAAGGTGTCAGTCCTGTACTAGCCCTGTTTGTTGAGCCCTCACCATATGCCAGGCACTGAGCTGGCTCGGGATCTAGCAGGAGAGAGTCACAGCCTTAGACTGGTTCATTTAGTCATTGGACATCCTCTGGAAACATAGGAAGTCATCTGATTTAGCCCTTGGTCAGGCATAGCTTCCGTAAGGAACTGACATTTCTGCCGGATGTTCAAAGGTAAGTACATGGAGGTTGAGGGGAAATGGGTAACAAAAGAGCCAAGTGAACTACATGTTTAAAGGGCCGTGAAGTATAGAGGATGGAAGGGAGAGAATGTGCGAGGATCTTAAAGACGTTGCCCATGTTTGAAGTGTGGAGCCGGGGGTAGGGGTGCCGATGAGGTGGAAGAAGTAGGCAGAGGTGCAATAAGACAGAGCCTTGATACATGATAAGCCTGCTTTCGTTGGGACCCTTTTGGTTGAAAGTGACAAAAATCCACCTAAGAAAAAAGGGAAGCTTTTGTTGGCTCAGAAGCTAAAAGTTCAGGGCTTTCAAGATCAAAGATGTCATTGAATTTTGACACCTCTCTCTGTCTCATCTGTGCTTTCCTTTGTGATAGCTTCGTTCTAGGACTGGCCTCTGTGAAATGGTCTTCTGATCCCCCTCCTCCTCACACAGAAGCGGAAGACTGGAGTGGAAGGGGATGGGGAGGGGGGGTGTTGGGAAAGGCTACCCGATGAAAGCCACTAATCTTCCTTCCACTCTCCAAGACCTTTAAGGTTACCTTCTTTTCAGGCCACGGCCAGAGGGCCTCACCTTAGACTTCTTGGCCTTTTAGGGAATTTATGGAGGGAGGTGGAGAATGGGACATGGAGGGACCCTGTTCCCAGACTCCAGAGCTTTCGTTTTCTTAAGGTTAGCAAAGCCACAGTCCCCTGTCTCTTTTCCGTAGGGCATGTTCTCTGCTGCATCCTCAGCTGCACCGGGAGGCAGGATCCTCTGGGTTTGATAAGAGAAAAAAGGAGAGCGGGGACCCAGAACCTCCTCCCGACTTCCGCCCCCTCATTCTGGCCTTGCGATCCTCTGCACTAAGCGGGTCCTGACCTATTTGCCAGACTCGCTGTTTCTCCCTCCTCTTCTCAAACCACCCCCGCGTCCTGCTCCAGCTTCTGGGTTTCACAACTCCTCCACTATCGGGGAGCCGCCCTTCTTTTGCTTGACACCCCCCCTAACTAGCCAGGACCAGCAAAACAAGATCCCATCCCTTCTTTGCTGGGTTCCGGCGCTTCCGCCTCCGGGGCGAAGACTCCTCCCCCTCCCGTCCCAATTGTATTCCCTGGAAGAGCAGCCGGAAGAGCCTCCGCCGCCAGAAGCTGGTACTTCCCTGCAGCCCCGTGCACGCCCCAGACTTGCCGCGGCATCCTGGGCCCCGCTCCCAGTCGGGGCGGGCGGCGCGGGCTCCGGCGAGACTTCAGCACCGCGGACAGCGCCCCGGCCGCGGCCCTCCCGCCCTCGGCGCGCTCCCGCGGGTCTGGGTGAGGCGGCGAGCGATGCCCACAGCATGGCCTGGTGCTCCGAGCCCATGGCGCTGCTCCTCGCTTTCGGCCTCCTCTGGCTGTGCTCAGGTAACCACAGGTCACTGCGCTCTGTCTCACCCCGGTCAGGCTCAGAGGTGGAAGGAAGGGATTCCTGGAGATGGGGGAGTCTGCTGGGAGTTAGGGGAGAGACCTTTGGGCTTGCAGGGAGGCCCTGGGGCACTGCCCTGGGAGGAGGACATACCCTAAGGAGTAAGGAAGAGGTAGAAACCTGGTTAGTGGTGCTGGGAAGGGTGTGGACACAGAGGAAGGAGGGAGGGAACCTCCCCTGGCTGTCTAGGCCAGCAGGAGGGCAGTCTCTGCAGCTGAGACGCGGTGTGAAGCTTTCTATCAAGAAATCTTCCTGGTTCGGCACCCTCCTTTGTCGCTCCATCATTCCCTGTCCACCCCATTGGGGTCCTGATTCTGGTCGCTCCGCAGGGGCAAGGCAGGAGGGGGAGAGAAGTGACTCCAACTCCCTCCTAGGGCGGGACAGAAGGTTTGGAGAGCATAAGCTCTGCCAGGCTGGGGCCAGGGAGGAGCACTCTGAGGGGATGGGGGGTGTTTGTGCAGAGCTACAGACGGTGGTAGAGTGTATGAAGGGCAGGCACAAAGGAAACGTACAACCTAATGGGACTGCCACACGTGGAGGCACGTAACGTGACTTGCACGCATAGATGAGCACTGACTGGGGAAAGGGTGAGTGGTGGGACATGAGTAACTGTTCCTTTAGACCATCCTCCAAAACCGCCCTGGAATTGTAGGTATCTTGTAGGACAGCGGTTCTCAACCTGTGGGTCTCGACCTCTTTGGGGGTCGAACGACCCTTTCACAGGGGTGGCCTAAGACCATTGGAAAACATATAATTACATATTGTTTTTGTGATTAATCACTATGCTTTCATTATGTTCAGTTTGTAACAATGAAAATACATCCTGCATATCAGATATTTACATGACGATTCATAACAGTAGCAAAATGACAGTTATGGAGTAGCAACGAAAATAATTTTATGGTTGGGGGTCACCACAACATCAGGAACTGTATTAAAGGGTCGCGGCCTTAGGAAGGTTGAGAACCACTGTTCTAGGAGAAGCCATGGAAACATGGGTTTCTCTTGAAACCACCCTCTGAGACCTTGCAGGAGAGCAGGTCTCCACTGATCTTTGCAGAATGGTTTCTGAGTCTGGAGGACTCTGTGTTGGGCTGTCTGGGTAACTTGGTCAGTGACCCCAGGGAGGAATTTCTCTCTGAGGGGCCTTTATGAGGAAACCTAAGCATTTGGATGATACCTTAGGGATGGAGCACTGGGGAAGCTGCGGCCTCCTGTCTGGGCCTGGGTTGCCCCATTTGCCTAGGGCGAGGGGGATCCTGGGCGGGCCTTTCTTGCCTCCTTACTTACTTCCTGCCCCTCAACCTATTGCCCAGGAGTCCGGGGTACGGACACAGAGGAGCGGCTGGTGGAGCATCTCTTGGATCCTTCCCGCTACAACAAGCTGATCCGCCCAGCTACCAATGGCTCTGAGCTGGTGACAGTGCAGCTCATGGTGTCACTGGCCCAGCTCATCAGTGTGGTGAGTGGGGTGGGGGGTCCCAAACCCTCTGTTCAGCTGCCGAAGTCAACATGCCAGCGTGTGGTGGTGTTTGTGCTTCCTTCTCCTGAGTTCCCGGGCCCGGGGAGGTGTGGGAGGAGCCATGGTGGGAGGTATGGGAGGAGCCATGGTGGGAGGTGTGGGAGGAGCC